AAAAGTGATCTATGTCGATCGAAATCTATGTATGCTTTTGCACAGCCGTCTGTGTGAGAATATATTTAGCTGAGGCAAAAAATACCAAAGCGTGATCGTTTCTTGTAGCGTTTTTTATCTCTTCTCTTATTTTCATGTTGATCGTTCCCTCTCTCGTTTAGAATGTATGTGATTGTTTCTCGTTTCATTTTTCTCGCAGAGTAATCAACAAGAAATTATGGAAAAATTAGCAGTAGTTAGAATACACCGAAACACCCTCCATTAAAACTCAGCCTTTTGTAGCTTCAATGAATAGCAAAACTTCAAAGTTACTCCAGAGGGACTGAGCTGATCCCAGAAGACGATTTGAAACATTTGGAAAGGGAAGATATGGCATGAAGAATTGGATAGGAAAATTTATTTATAGATCAGCAGTGAAATGGAAAACGTTGCACCAGGTGTGTTTGAGGCCAACTTAAAAAAACATTATAATTGCTGCGAGGGACGGAATCGTTCGAAAACTTCTCATTATCTAATCGTTTCTCGTCTCATCTCGTTCAACAAACGAGAAATTCACCACGCATCACTCCATCTCGTTCTCGTCTCGCCTCGTTATATTATCATTGGACCACTTCTCGTAAAAATGTCATTTTCAGAATTGCCGCAATCACGATGTACTGATCGGCTGCGCAATTCGCCACTACTGATTAATTAGCCTCTGATGAATGAAACACGATTTCCACATATTGAAGAACCTATATTAGTCAGTACGATGTGATGAGATTAGATACTAACAGGCGCGGCAATAATTGGATGGCCCCATTTTAGAGATCATTCTATTTGACATCTCCAACAGATCAAGTTTTTTTTTTCGTTGGAGAACGGAACGGACTGCAATCGTGTAAGTCTCAACTCGAGCTGTGTCTGTTATAAATATACTTGTACTTGCATATGAACATCTACTTACGCAACATTAACAATGTAATTAAGACAATAAACCAACCCCAATGGGCATGTTAAGCGTAATTTATGTGAGCAAAAATTTAGCGATCAGCAACAACTGACTCTGTTGGCTAACGATATAATGCTTCATATCACATTCTCATTCAACTTACGTAGCATTCACACTCATAGGTATTGCTTCCTAGCGTTTTGGGTTCCATAAGCTGCATTTCATCACTTTGTTGAACGTTCAGTTCAGAAGCTTTTCAATCCCCAAGATTACTTCTTATCATCGACTATTATTTGATGAAATTTTTTAATCTTTATATGCCTTGTGTATTTTATTTTCATATTCACTGTTCGATACTGAAGTGAAGCACCAGTATTGAATGCTTAATCCTCCGTGAGTAACCGACTCCATAGCATTGATGTTTTCTTTGGACAAATGTTTCCAACTGAGTGATTTGACATATACATGACAAGATATCATTTGTTGCTGTGTAGAAAATTCAGTTTTATTGGTTTAAACAGATCTTGTCGTATGAAGAAGTCGTTTCATGCAGTTGATTACAAAAAACTATCGAATGCACATTTGCAGTGCAAAATGCACGCAAATTTTGGCAGCTGAATAAGGCGTATTTGTTTTTTAATGGTTGGATATGTAATAAGTAGTGCTGCGCTATGATCAAATAAAGACGATTATTTGTGTTTGAAATGTTAATTGATGCGCAAGTGATATTGTGAACTGAAGAAACGCAATCGACTCCTCGATCGAATATGCGTGCCCAGCGGGAGGTAATTGGGTAATCGTGTTGTGTCGAGTGCATTAGTATGTATGTGTTAATATAAAAATGTATAAATATATGTATGTGCAGTATCATCAAAGTGACGAATATCAATCAACCAGTTAATGGGTGCACTGCAATGTGAAAACATCTGCTGAAACATAATGAACATATGTCCGTGCGCTCGGATCGACGGATAGATGGATGAACACATAGGCCGTTCGTTTATTGGTGCTGTTGCTGCTGCTGATGCTTACATTATAATATGATATTGATATTCGATTCGATAATATCACTTTCCTTGATTATACCACACATGCGCCATTTAATACTCTTATACAAACATTGCCACTGCAAATCAATACATATTAATAATACTCTCTTCTCTTATGGCCCAAAATCTGATCGATTCACCATCCCTCAACATAGCCAACAACCTGAACTGCAACTGATCTCAGCTAACGATTTCACCTTTCATCCAAAACACATCATTTACTTAATCTCTCATTCACTTCACACCACATATCTCAATCACAATCCCCACCACATTCATCATTTATTGTTACCGTAATAAGCTGAAAACAAGTCCCGCCCCAACTACATCAAAGCAACCAATGCAGAGAAGAGGTGTGTCATGTGCAGTAGCATCAGCAGTCACGTGCAAGTGAGAACAACGTGTATAACAAGCAATCGAACAAGCATCAGCCATTCTGTTGTTGAACAAATAAACTCCGCCTCGATTATAATCGAAAGAAGAAAGAAGAACGAATAATCATCCTACTATCCGTCGTTGCATTCGAATCACGGAAACGTTGCATTTCCTCATCTTGATCTCACATCATCTATCTTTCCATTCATCATCATAATCACCAACTCTAGTGCTATAGATAACACTGCTGAGCAACGTTGCTTTTCCACCTTGTTGCGTTCTCATTGCCTCCCTCCTCTTGTCCGTTATCATCTCTCTTCTCAATCTAATACTTGTTTAATTCTTATTCTTTACAAATCAATTCAACTCTTCTTCAATCCACTTCACTTCACTCGCTCACTGATGAGCATCATTCGTTGTTGTTAAATGTTTTGTAACAAGATAATTCTCTTCTGTTCGATAGTTATTGTAAGTAAATGAGTGAGGAGTGAGTTCAGTTTAGAGTGCAACTTGTTCTAGTAGTTGTGGTCGTTGTTTGCTCCTGCTGCTCTTGATGCTGCCGTGTTACTCTCTCATCGTTTATATCTACTGAACTTATAAACATATTATTAATGAATTATATTCATGCATATTAGATATTTATTTATAAATTTACAATATGCTATGATATGAACAAATCAGAGCTAACACAATTTCAATCGGTTCGTTATTTTTTATCACCATCGTCGTTATCAGAACTGTCAACTTCATTACTCATATTACAGTTTGCTACTGTATTATTACAGCATATTTAACGATTTATTCACACCGTTATTAGGCTGTTGCTGTTCATTGATCAAAGTGATTATCATAAAATGCTTTATTAACTGCTTCATTTTTAGTGTTCAATCCCTAACTAATAAACGCTCATTTGCTAGCGCATATTACTCGTGAGTACTTTTTGAATTCTTGTTTCAAATTTATTTATCCACCGATGAATATCATTATTGATATTATTATGAAGAAAATTATAATTACTGCTGTGGTGACTTGTAGTTATGATTATAAAAATACTTATCTTTTTCATAGTTACAAGATACTTGATCTTTTTTTTCCGCAATTGCTGTTATGTATCAAAAAATCAGCAAAGTGATATTATTATAGTTTCTACTGCTTTAGCCAAAAAATATTCACAAACTCAAATCAGTATTCATGACCGTGCATAAACACTTCTGCATCATTATTTAGGGTGTTGAATGATAATTATTTGACGTTTGAAATTCGCAAATTCACTCCATCTACTGATGTCATTTATAGAATCGCGCAAAATTATGTGCATAAATAAAGTGTACAAATCAAAATCAGTCTGTATCAAAGACAGTCTAATTTATTCGCTTATGCTTTTACGTAATTGTGTTATTTCGATGGATTTATGAAAGGGATAGTTTTCTTTGGTGAGGTATCGTTGCAGTTAATGTTAAGCTTTAAAAATGAGTGCCTTTTGATTATTTAATTTATGACTGTTCCTTGTTCTTTCTCGAACATTTCTGGCATTCAAAATTGTAGAATAACAACAGACGAAGATACGATAAGATAAGAATAGCTATTGAAAACTGATATTCTACCGTTGCAGCATGCTTATGTATTCTTGTTACCGCCATAATACCTCAAGTAGTTTCTTCTTTTTTTGGAACAAAAAAATCGTTTCATTGATCTACAAATGGATAATAATTAGATATTAGGTCCCATCTCGTGATCCAAAGCTGTTCCTGTGCACTGCATCCACATGATGGCGTCATTACGTAGTGATTGTCTGCTTCGTTATTTGCATGAATGAAGAGAATTTAAAAGATTGTTTTATGTCGAATTTTACTACTGGAACATTTGTTAACATTTGTTTCTGAAATGTAAAACGTTTTGATGCCTCTTTTTATACGTAGGAAAGGGTGTTAGAAGGGAAAATAATAAATAAACATTTGAAACGTTTTCATTCTTGAATTGATCTCACTGTTTTTCTGCAGTTGTGATGCTTTTATTAGCGCTTGATTAGTGAAAACAATGCTGAATTCATCGTCAATGCTGAATCAAGAATTCATCTTTTGAAGAAGTGGTGTTTATTACATCCACCACTTTCTAACTAATTGATAATTATCGCCTTTTATCTGTCTAATATCATATTATCACCAGTGTGTCACTGACATTTTTCCATACACACTGATTGTTGTATGTTGTCATTCGATAAAAAAGTCATACCAGTCTTTGAAATAACCATTGAATAACGTCGATGTTAATTGTTGAAAAAAAATAGTTATCATGTAATGTGATATCACTTTTGAATAATGAGTGAATTGCTTGCATTATCTTCATCATCATTTCTGTTGCAAATTTGAATTCATCACTAATAGAATTGTAGATTTGAATTCAGTAATTGATATAATTAATCGTGATAATTTTTGGTTTTAATGTTTGATTCATCAATGCGATCTCTTTTTTGCTTGATGAAGTAATGAAGTGACGCAGTATTATGTCCGTGAATTTGAGTGGAATTGAGTGTGGACGTTCGATCGTGTTTCTTAAGTGATAATTTGAAGGTCACAAATAACAGAAATTAAATTCAGGAAGACGATCGTACCAAGATTCGCTTCCTTCTAAGATTAATTAACCTAATGATGGCATTTAATCCGGCAGCTGCATTCAACGCCCAGGTTGGTAGTATTGCTTTCTTTGAAATGATTTATTGCCTTTATTTGATGTCATTAAAAGCTCGAAAGTTATTGTATTAACACAATGAAAGAAATCACTGGTTTCCATTTGTGACTTGTAATATTTGTAATAAGTGATGTTTATGGTTGTTCTTTTTCTAAAATTTTTTGTTTTTAGCAATTTTTTAAAACTATTATTATTATCATTATTATTATTATTATTATCATTGTTGTTGCTTTTTCATTCTTATCATTGTCGCTATAAATTTTACACATGGTTGCCAGTGATCAGCGAATGTATCTATCTGATTCGCAAACTTGTTCAGACTTCAAAATCATGTCTTACTTATCCCTTATCGATAGAACATGCCCGCTGTCTTTGTCTTCCTCTCCTTACTTCACCCTTTCTGTGTTATAACGTGATGAATGCTCGATCAGATTGTTTCGAATTTTTAGCACTCACTTGTAATCTGATCATAAATTCATAACATCACTATTCATTCTAGTGATAATCAATGTTATTCTCATTCTTATTCACTTAACAAACGATTATTTTAGTATCATGAACTACTTCATCATCGACCTTCATTATTCTAATAAGTTAATAATAATAACTGTGAGAATAATAATAAGAATAATAATAATTATAATAATGATGATAATAATAATAATGTGAATGATAATAATAATGATAATAATAATAATAAACTTCTGTAGCTGTTAGCTGCCTCACAACCGTCAACACCAGTGAAAGCTGAATCATCGAATTCAATCGGCGCTCCACCTACCTCACATTCTGATCTCACAAATGACGCAATCCGCTTCCTGAATGCTAGCGGTCCTCTGTTAACGCCTGGTATTCCGGGTTTTCCGCATCCGATGAATGCTGAAGTTGCGGCATTTCGTGCTGCAGTTGCGCAAGGTGCAATACCATTTCCTGCTGCCGCAGCTGCTGCAGCTATGTACTCGGGTATGCATCCGGCGGTATGTTACTCGCATCGTTTCAGTTGCACATACCCCCTCTTGACAACCTCACTTGTTTCAGTTGCACATACCCCCTCTTGACAACCCCACTTGTTTCAGTTGCACACAAAGCAACATGAGCACTTACTTCAGTTTACAAATTTTCATCGATTTTCGATTCGAAAAGTGAATAATGTGTCCGTTGAAGAAACGCATAATAACAATTGTTATTTCGTTTCGAATGATGACTACGTTCGTAATGCGTTTACGCACCGCGCCTACCCAGCAATAACTTGTATTCTTTCTACTAATATATTTTTATCGCTCTAATATTTTTCAGTCCCTTCGATCTCAATCTTTTCCTATTCTTTTCAATCGTTTTCGCTTTAATCATCGTTTTTTTTTTGTTTCCTCCAATCAATCCAATAAATTTTCTGTATCAAACTCGAGCGATCTTCTTGAAAGGTTTCAAATGATTCAGTCTGTTGTTTCGATATTAAACATTTTCATATTCTGGGGATTAAAAAAGAATATGGAAAAGTGCTGTTCAAAATATTTGTGTAAATTTCGTTGTAAACATTGTTTATTTAGTGTTATTTTTTAACAAATGTTGATGTTTTATTCTTCTAGGAGTTAAAGCCAGAAATGATGGGTACAACGGCAAGCGGTGTACCAGGATTCTTCTTCGACGCATCGCTTGGTTATCATCCATATGCTGGAGGTTTAGATGGTGCTCGACGAAAGAATGCAACACGTGAAACAACAGCACCACTCAAGTCATGGCTTAATGAACACCGAAAGAATCCTTATCCGACAAAAGCCGAGAAAATTATGCTTGCTCTATTAACAAAAATGACTCTCACTCAGGTAGAAAATCAATTGATTTTTCATAAATGTTATTGATTCATCGATAGTGTATAGTGAACAACTATGTTTTCAATAATATTACTATGTGGTATTAGATTTCGTTTGTTTATCAAGACATTGAGTTCTTTTGATGTATTCAGTGCTAATCAGCAGTATGTGAAACGGCAAATTACACCTCTCAATTTGTGATGGGTTGTCAGTTTTTGGACTTATTCTTAGAAGAATAGCCACCTGACGGCTACAATATAAGTCGCTTTCTCAGACTCAACAATGAGAAGTCAATTGAAAAGAACAAAAATGCTACCGCATTGTTAATCGCTCTTCTGTTAATTGTCCCTTTATGGTATTCTTAGCGTTCCCTGAGGGTCGATATTGATGGCGGTTTACCTTTTGTGTCGTTCAAAGGATTGATTAACAACAAATAGAACACTCATATTTTTTTCATATGCGCATATTTTCGGGCTTAAACATTTGATTGGAAATTGACAATTGCATAATAAAAATATGTACGTATTCATTTATGTTTAATAGATTGGTGATTTATGTTAGGTATCAACCTGGTTTGCAAATGCTAGACGGCGTCTGAAAAAAGAGAACAAAATGACGTGGTCTCCAAGAAATCGACCGGGTGAGGATGACGACGATGATTTAGCAGATATTGATACTTCAGAACGTGATCCTTGTGATCGTCCGTCAAGCAGTACATCGAATATTAGTGATCTAGGTGAATCACTGAAACATGAGAGAGGTGTGTACGATTAATTTTTAAATCATTCATTTGTGTTCAAGGATTAAAATAACTGGATTCGAAGAACATAAGAGAGATGTTAATAATAGAGTGCTGAAGTGCCATTCATATAGGTATTTATGATGAGCGTTTGCAGTGTCGTCAAATGATATCAATGGCACTGATAAACTGGCGATAACACCGACAGCATCGGGACTTGCTTCTGCAACAATAACGGCCACAACAACAACAAGCTCCACTTGCACAAACTCTGAGTCATCACCGAAAAAAACGAAAATTTGGTCGATCGCCGAAACACTCTCGAGTCGCTCTTCAGAATCAGACAAAACCAATGCGAACACTGCATGTACCTCAGTACAACAGAAGTGTGAAATGAATAACGATGATTATTCTCATATCCAATTATCCACTACAACTGCCATTCCTTTTCCGTCATCATCATCGTCATTATGCTCATCGGCGAATTGTCCTCCTGGTGTTGTTGTTGATGGAGCTGCGCCATTGTCTGCTCACCCGCCACCACCGTTTTTGCAGTTCAATCCTTGGCAACAACAGATGGCTGCGATTGCGATGTCTCGTATGCCTTCGTTCCCTAGGCCTGACCTGTTAACTGTTATGGCTCAGTCAAGACCCCCGCCTCCTGCAGCTATGCTGTTCAGTCCTCTTTTAATGGGTTCACCGCTCGGTATTATGCCACAACCACCACAGTCCACATCATCATCGTCTTCGTCAGTTCAAACGATAACACCAGTATCCACATCTTCGCAACAATCAAATGGTTCGTCATTTATAAGCATCTTTTTTACTTATGTCTTATTTTCACTTCATAAAAGCGTTTTACCTAGGTGTTGGCCATTTTTTATTTTTATTTTTTCATATAATGTATTTTCGTTGATGTTTTTGGTTATGTCAAGCTATTCCATATTTATTTTCTCGTATAACGACTGCTTTCACTTGTCAAATTTCTACAAGTTTCACCTCTCATTTTTGCAGCGAATCGTTTCATGTTGCGAATTCTAATGAGTTGTATCACTTGGTTTTCAAAATTAAAATTTTCATAGTCTTGTCACAATTACGAATCAGAAAAACTTATTTCTTGCTGCTAATTAGAGTATCCCCCGCAAAAAACTCAAGCGACAATACAGTTTCATCTCCTCTTCTGTCTTAATTATTTTTCATCTCATGAAACTTTTCAGTGCAGGTTTCTATGAGGCTTGCTATTAATATTTATGTTTTGAAATGTAGAAACTATTCACGCACGCAATACTCTCTTGCTGCATTTGTCTGATTGGTTCGTTTCATATAACGAATAAATCATTCAACTACTACAACAAATCATTTGAGATCAGCCAACATTTCGATGTTCAGTTTTATGCAACGAAATTTTCGAATTATCCTTTCATTATCAACTAATTCTATTGTATAATTGTTGTTTGTATAACCTTGAAAAATCTCCTCTTCTCTTCATTCACACTTAAACAACAACTATCTGTTAAATGTCTGAGCTGACTAATATATAGCGATGAAAAGAATACTAATAATAATATACCACCCAACAATGCACTAACGTTAGATACGTCGTATTTTAGGAAAGTTATGTTTTTATAACAAACGTGTTCACATATGGAAATATTATTTCACTACTGAAGTGATGGGCAATTAATAGTGTAAATGCGGTGAATGTGAACGAACAAAAGTACATCATTATCTTAAATGACTAAGCTAGAATGTACCAATAAACATTCTCTAGATGAAAACAATTTTCTTATATCATCAAAGGGTGTTTGTATGTCAGTGAAAGTGGCATTATTTCTATTACATTGTTTTACATGAATTTTATAGTACAGAGTTTTCGTGATTGTGATCGTGGCTTTACGTTTAGGGTTGTGATTGTTATCAGCTGAATTTAAATGATTACTTTGAAATCATGCATACTAAAATTCATAGTAGAAATTTCCTGGATATCTTAATGCTGATGAGAATTTAAAATAAATTTACTGAAGTAACAGAAATGAATTGTTGAGAGACGATAAAATTTCGAAAACATTCTTCAATCTCAACTTCATTGTTTGTTCACTTTTTTTCCATTAATTGTGTGCATCATAATTTAGCTTTTTTTCTTTTGCTTCGTTCACTATCTAAAAAGTCGTTTTTATTTCTTGATTTTGAAAATCGATTACAAAATCAACTCAAATTGAGATAGATAGATTGTTATTTGTGATTACAATCCTCTTATTACATTTGAGATGAAAGTTAGTTGCTAAGGGAATTAGTGAGTAGTGTGTTAATATTAATCACAACGTTGTAGATTGGCATATAAGTACACAACGCTCTCAAGTAGCCTGAGAAGTAAATTGAAGAGAATGGCGATAGCAAAAGAAGATTATTGTTGAAAGGGACGCAATTTTAAAAATGTATCAATCTTACAGATAAATTGTTAGTTTGATTGAAGGATAGATGAAACGTTGGTGTAACAAATCTTAACCGTTTTCATCAAATTCTTTTCATCAGATCTCCCCAACTTTACTTTTTCAACGAACACATATCATGTTTATTTCATGACGATTTCTCAGCGTTTCATATCTCACAAAAAAAATTCGTTGGTGTTATTTGTCTCTTTTAAGAGTAGTCTCAATTAAAAGGCTGGCCAACTTTTTTCAATAGTTATTTTATGAAATTGCCGTATAAGAAATAATGAGAATAAAGATGTGCATTAACCAACCGCTTTTTGTAATATATATGGATTAGCATTAGTCTGTTTTGACAATATAGAATAATCAGTTGGTAGTTCAATAAGTGAAGTATTTGCTTGAAGTGGTAATCGCAACAGCAACAATGAAATGCACGCACGTGCTGCATTAGATTTGTTAACAGTTCTGCTTTACCGCCACCGTAAATTGCTATCCACCTAACCGGAAAGTGTTGAATGTCATGTGTTTGATAAGAACGAATGTACAACCGCTGTATAACCGCCATAAAATGTTTGATTTATTTATCTTTTTTGGTGGTGCTGATAATGTTGTGTGCATTGCAAACATAACGTTATCATATGCACAGTATTTAATTATTAGGTAGATTGAAGGGTGTATGCCGTTATGTTTTATGTATGTTCTTAATGAGAGTACATACATGTAGCGATTTGTTGTTTGTTTTAATGACATTATTCTACTAAAAATGATTTAGTGTGTGTCATATTCAACGCCCAACTATTTGGAGCATAATAAAGGCACAACTAGTGGGTTGTCTTAGTAGTAGCAGAAGATGTAAGACGATGAATAAGACCGAACAATAAGTAAGAACAGGAGCGCTGAATACTTGCTGATGTTGCTGCTGATAAGGGAATGCAGAATGATGTTAAGATTATCATTATTATTACTGTTACTTTTTATTTTTAGTAATATGATTTTTGTTATCACATTGATAGTAGTAGCAAGGGAGTATTTTGATGAATGACCAGTGCACAGTGAAAATCGATTGCGGAATGCAAGGAAACATGAAGGGAGTGAATAGATGCAGGGATATCGTCAAATAAATGATTTTGATAATTGATGGGTGAATGGAATCGTTGTGAACGAACTGAATTTCAAAGACATAATTCCACTGAATTATGTGTGCATCGCAATGAAATTGTGTTTCATTGAAAGGATCAGTCCAAAAAATGAATGTGTGGGATTCAGCGAATACGTTCGATCTCTGACGGTTTGCAAGTAGTAGATGTCTACTTCTGCGTTTGATCTAACTATTAGATGTTCATTATGATTTAAAGTTTCAGTGATTATCATAGGATTGATTGATGATCGTCTATGCGCTTCCTAACATGAAAACATCTACTAGTTGCATACATGAACGTTTCTATTTATTGAATCGAATGTCTGACATGCATTTGGTGCAGTTATGAGAATTTGGATTGCTAGATTTGAAATGGGGAAAGGAATCATCGTAAAATATTAGTCCGTGTCAAATGAAGGGAATGAAATGAGAGGTTGTTATTGTTGAAGTTCGAAGATGTGATTGTCGTTTGAAATTCAGTGAATGGATTGATTCGACTCGATTAGATGAGATACCATAAATACACCAAAATAGATGAGCACTAATCTAAGATATTCGTACGTACAACATAACATATGTATTACATATTTGGTGATGACTATGCTCATGAGATACGTATGATGTATGGTATCATATATTTATACAGACAGACACACATAATGAGAAATGTTTGTTCATATTTGAATGTATGTAATCGAATAAAAGAAATTCAATGATGAGTTGAGGTGTTGTCCTTGAGAAGTGACATAAATGTATGTTTCATGTAGATGGATGTTGTACACAATCATTGACATAACAACATTACATTCTCTGATATCGTTTCTGAGAGACATGAAATGATATTGTCGCCTTGTAGTCAGTACGACGATTTGATGATCGTTTCGTCATCATCATGATCACATCACAGCATAAACACAAGTGAGAGAAAAATTTCCTTCGGTTTATCAAAACTACTTTTTCAGTTCAATAAAAAATAGTTGTTTCACAGAATGTCATTTCATACTGCAAACACCAACAGCCGGGGAACGTACTCTTAATAAGTAATTGGTTCACGTCAGTCAACAAGAAATCTTTGTTTCGAGTGTCAGTAATCAGTTTTTTTTTCTTGAGAATACTTCTTTCACATGAATTTGAAATTTCTAAAGTAAGTAACGTCTAGAAATGGTTGTTCTCAAAAAACTTCACAGTTGAGTATCGGACGAATGAAATTGTTCGTTCAAAAGTTGAGCATAACGATGCCTTTCTCAGAAAGCATTATACGTTCTCAGAAACTGCAATTCAGCTTAATATTGATTGTGTCAATGAATTTGTTTCAATCAACTCACTCACTGCATGCAAGCTTTTGCAAATCTTTTATGATTTTTAGTTTTTTTTGCCTTCTTTTTTCTCATTATTCTTCGTTTTCATCCTCATCTCGGCAAGCTTTTGCGGACTAGTTCAGTATATCATAGAAGATATTCTGAACTGTGTGTAATCAATCCACTAAACGAATACTACTCTAAAACGGGAAACTTTACATCTGTTCCACGCAGCACATTTCCAGGAATCAGATGAGTGATCTTGAGCAACTGTTACCAACTTCTAAGATAACTTCTAAGATCATTCGTGAATAATTGTACGGTTTGAGTTAAGGTGACGATTATTAATGCTGTGATAACGCTGCATCAGTATGCCCTATATTTCTTGGATGTGTTTATAGTATAATCTTGTAAAGAAGGCTGGGAATGTCACATTTCAAGTTCATTCAGAATTTCTCTCATTTGACTAATCATCGCATTATCATCGAAAGCATTCACGTACACTTATAAGGAATTAACCCCGAATAAAATATGTATTTATCGAATAGATATGAACAGAATGTTTGCAGATGTGTTGAACGGAGTTGATTAAAACAATTCATTTGATTGCATGCTGAATAAATCATCTAATTGAATGTTAAGTAGAGCTAATAAGTTGTGGGTAATTGCAGGAACGACAGCGGCTGGTGGTGCCGTAATGTGGTGTGAACGAAGAAGTATGAGTCCAAGCTCTTCAACTCATAGCACAGCGGGTGGTGTAGCGAATATTTCCGCAGAAAATGACAATCAATGATGTGATAATCACGTAATGCAAAATTACTTTTTAATACGGGCACATTCTAACGTTGATTTGGTAATTTTATTGCATTTTGGTAAATTATAACAACAACGATTCATACGTTCATTTATCCCGTGAAAAACAACGACGGTCTCTTAATTCAGTTTTCTTTCACTCGAATCTCTCCTGGATTAATTGATTCATTAACTAAATGCGTTGATCCATTACGCGTATCGTTCTTCTTTGACTCTGTACAAGTAACATCCTTACTTTGTTCAACTGATTAAGCGCTCAGTTCATATTTAAGGTTCATTCTCACTTCCATCTGATACGGATTGTCTTGATTCAGATTCAAATGTCTTCCGATATTAATATCAAGCACATAATCAGTTTTAATGTGTTATTCAGTCGAATTGGTTGTCATTTGTTAATGCCACTTCTAATTTTGGAAACACATAACAACTCGTGCCTCAGTGATATTCAATCATTTATTTCTCTTCTGATCTCTGTTCCTTGAAAGGTTCATGTGCTTGCTTAGCTGTTAAGCAAACTCTGGTAAGGGTTACGCAACATTATGAATGTACAAACAAGATGAATGT